CGCATGCATGCAGGCATGCGTGCATGCAGGTGTGCATGCGCGAGTGCGTGCGGGGAGGCAGGCCGGCAGCCGTTGGTGCGGGCCGCCGTGCATGCAGCTGTGCATGCATGCATGCGAAATGCATGCATGCAGACGTGCATGCATGCAGACGTGCATGCATGCAGATGCCTTGCTGGGTTTACGGGCAGAAGTGGTGCTCAGTCTGCTGCTGCTGCTGCTAATGCTGCCTGCCGTGCATCCCCGCTGAGCCGTCCGGGCCGCACGCTTGTCCTCCCACCTCTGCTGCTGCTGCTGCTGCTGCTGCTGCTGCTGCTGCTGCAGGGTGCCAGTTCGCGAACGTGGGCGTGGTGGGCGCGAGCCTGACGACGCGTTCTGCTGCTGCCTTCGACGCCTGCCAAATGCACTGCGCCTCCTACTCCGGCTGCAGCCACTTTTCTTTCCACTTGGACTCTGGAGAATGCACTCTCTGGTCTTCCTTCAACACCTACTCCTCCGGCTCCTCCACCCAGGGCCTCGTCTCCGGTCCCGCCTTCTGCGACTCCGAGGGTCTGCTGCTCCTGCTGCTGCTTTTGCTGCTGGGGTTGCTGCTGCTTTTCCTGCTGTGCTTGCCGCTGTTTTGCTGTTTTTGCTGCTGTTTTCGCTGTTTTGCTGCTGTTTTCGCTGTTTTGCTGCTGTTTTCGCTGTTTTGCTGCTGTTTTCGCTGTTTTGCTGCTGTTCTTGCTGTTTTGCTGCTGTTTTTGCTGCTGTTTTTGCTGTTGCTGGTGTGGTTGCTGCTGTGGTTGCTGCTGTGACTGTTGCTGTGGCTGTTGCTGCAGCCGCTGCTGCTGCCCTTGCCGTTGCCGTTGCTGCTATTCGTTGCCGCCGTTGCCGTTCCTGCTGCTGCTGCTCCCTGTCCCAGCAGCAGCAGCAGCAGCAGCAGCAGCAGGGCGTGGGTGCGGCGCTGCGTCTCAGAGATTTGCTTCGAGCAGTCGGACTACGTGGGCCACAACGTGGAGGAGGACGAGAGCGGCGAAGTTGCTTCTGCTGCTGCTTGCCAACTCCGCTGCAGAGAAAACCCAGACTGCCACTTCTGGACTTGGCTACGCAGCAGCAAAGGCTGCTACTTGAAGGACGCAAATGCGCTTCTCGGCCGCACCAACGACGCCTCCTCCCTCGGCAGGTTCTCCGGGCCCAAGTGGTGCACCGTCAGCTACGGTCCGCTGCTGCTGCTGCTGCTGCTGCTGCTGCTGCTGCTGCTGCTGCTGCTGCGCGGGTGCGCGGGCTCCGCGGCTGCTGCTGCTGCGGCTGGGTGGTGCAGCAGCTGCTGCAGGCGCGCTGCTGTGCTGCCGCATTCCTGCTGCTTCGCTGCGGCTGCTGCTGCAGGAGTGCGGGATTTTGCTGCTGCTGCTGCTGCTGCTGCTGCGCAGGGTGCATCTACGCAAACGCAGTGTACAGCGGAACTGCGCTGCAAAGTCTGGAAGCAGAAGACTACGCGAGCTGCGGGGCCAGCTGTGGGGCGAATCCGTTTTGCTCGGCCTGGACTTTCCACCCCGACTTGAATCTTTGTTCTCTTTTTTCCGGCTCTGTCACTCTTTCCAAAAAGCCAGTCCGCGGGGCCCTCTCTGCTGAGAAGGACTGCCTCAAGGAAAGCCAGGAAGAGACCAGCTGCTTCGAACAGGGAATCCAGTACGCCCTCGACAAGGTCGTCAAGGTAACCTGCAGCAGCAGCACCAGCAGCAGCAGCAGCAACAGCAGCAGCAGCAACAGCAGTAGCAGTATCAGTAGAACCCGATACTGTACTGCAGCTGCGGCAGCATTAGCAGCTGCAGCAGCAGCAGTAACAGCGCGGACAAACACTGCAGCAGAAGCAGCAGCAGCGCCAACAGACCCTGCAGCAGCAGCAGCAGCAGCAGCAGGAGCAGCAGCAGGAGGAGGGTTTGTGTGTGTGTTTCAGATTGGAGAGGCGTCTTCGGCGTTTGAGTGCTACCTGCAGTGCCAGCAGGAGTCGAGCTGCAACAGGTGGACTTTGAAGAACGGGGAGAGCTGCGTGCTGCTGGGCGACAGCAGCAGCAGCAGAAGCAGCAGCAGCATGGTGTTTGACCCGCTGAGCGTGTCGGGGCCCCGCGTCTGCGGCAGCCAAGTACCCCTCGCCCGCGCCGTCAGCAGCGAGGGGGCCCCCCTGGCCTCGGCCACAGTCTTTTCGCCGCAGGGCTGTTTGCAGCGGTGCATGCAGACCCCGCAGTGTGAGAACTGGAGTTTCTTGCTGGGGGCCCCCACGAACTGTTTGCTGTTCGACAAAACTGCCACTTTTGAGCCTGGAAATGCCATTTCTGGCACGCTTCCCAGGGCCTTTCTGGCCTCTGCATGCAGCTTCGAAAATGCACAAGTCCTCGGAACTGCTGCAGTGGCTTCAGCAGCAGAGTGCGCAGCAGACTGCCGCGCGCACCCGCTCTGCAGGGCGTGGACTGCGCAGCTGCGGCGGGGGGCCCCCGCGGCGCAGGGGGGGGCCCCCGCAGCTAGCCAGGGGGGCCCCCCGGGGGCCCCCGCGGCGCAGGGGGGGGCCCCCAGCAGCCAGGGGGGCCCCCAGGGGCCCCGGAACTACGTGGCCTGCAGCTTGTTCGATGACGACAGCAGCCCCGTGGCCGTGCCCAGCCCCGACAGCTTCTGCGGAACTGCTCTGGACCCCGAAAGCCTCAAATTGGAAACTTCTTTGGAGTTCGATCCTGCTGCTGCTCTCTTCAGCGAGCTGCTGCCGCTGGCGGAGTGTGCAGGGGCTTGTGCGCGCAGCGCGGGCTGCGAGGCGTGGGTGTTTGAGTTGGGGGGCGGCTGCACGGGGCTGGCAGCAGCAGCAGCAGCAGGGGAGCAGCAGCAGCAGGGCGCTGCTGCGGGGTACGTCCCCAGCGACCCCCCCGCCCTCTACTTCCACACCGCCTTTACTGCTGCTCCCGCGCTCGCTGCTGCTGCTGCTGCTGCTGCTGC